GGCACCAAACAAGAGAGACACACTTTTAAGGAGAGTTAATAAGTTCTACACAAAATTAGTTCGTCTATTAAAGAGCATAGTTGTGTCGGAAGTAAATTTTTGTGCTGTACGCAAATAACCTTTTAACCTTTTCGTTGTTCCTGCATTTGTGTGTTCATAACATTAATCAAATTATCAAATTATTAAAATAAAACCGTGGGTAATCTATGCTGGAATTGTTTACCACTTGGAATTGCGTTAAAAAATAGTTTAGGGGCACTGGAAAAAAGGGAAAAAGGTACAAACTTATGCTTCTAAAAAGCACTGACAAATGTCAGTGCTAAATAATAGCATGCTATAGGTGAAGAGATAAAACGTTTTTTATGAGATGTAGTTTCGAAACCCTACTTATAAACGAAAAATAAAGAGGTTTTGTCTCCATGGCAGTGTCATTAACCCATTTGGTTCATCTTCTACCAGCCATTAGCAGGCCTATTAGTTATGCAACAGCGGGGATATAACTAAAGTAATTTATAAATTAGCAAGTGACTCGATATTAGGATTGGGCAGAGAGAGCTAGTAACTACTTCCCTTCAAGCTTACAATTAGTGGGGATGCTAAAGTTAAATTTGTAGTAGAGGATTTTAAGTTTACCGAGTGTGCCAAACATTGGCAGAAAAGAAAAGTTATTGAGAAATCATCACTCTAGATGCATGTTAAGCTGACAGGTAGAAATGAAAAAATATTTTATGCGTTTTTGGGTCACTTTTTAGTTGAACAAAATGTCCTAGTTTGTATAATCTTATCTGATTATTAAGAGGACTTACAAAGTCAAGGGATGATCATACTAATTCTTTAGAGTTTGCTCAAATTCGGTCAGTTTTGTATGAAACTATGCAATTTTTGAGCCATTTTATGGGATTATAAAGCCGTTCAAGTAAAAAAATCACTTACAGATAATTGATCACTAAAAGGTGTGAAATCCGTGTCTATTTCCAAGTTACTATTGATGTTTGGTGAACGCCTCACTCGTGAGAGGTCACTCTCCAAGACACCACTGGTCACCAAGCTTGGAAACTCCCTCAGACTGCCTGTACGTGGTGATGGCTCGAGAACAGGCTGCTGATTGCGATAGAGCATCAGGGAGAGACTCATCACTGGATAGGTTAGCAGACAAGCGGCTGTGACCCAGATGACAATCGCAAAAATGAGACAGACCAAGAACTGCCAGAAGAGGTGGCATATCCAAGTCGGCAGAAAAAGGAAAGTAAGAGATTTTTTCGGTTTTTAATAGAATATTATTTTTAATATTAATAATACTAAAAATAATACCAATACCAATAATAAAATTATTATTATCAACATAAGATTTTATGGTATATTTTGACTTAGGCCATCGGCTAAATCATGCTGATTTAGATTGCATTTAGGATTGTAGGATAAGTGGACAAGAGTTGCACAGTTTTAGGAATAGTAATTATACTGACTAATGGTACTAGTAACAAAAGGCTGAAATAGCAAAAGGAAGCATTTGCAAGCCATACGAACTTTGCTCTATTTGGCCACAAAGACAAGCAAGATTCTTAAAGTCTCTAAAGGAAAATTTGTACCATGAGGTGTGTGTGTGTGTGT